TCTGTTGTTTCTCTCCTTGACCCTATTTGGAGTTTTCTTGGCCAAGATACTAGAGAGGTTTCCCATTTCTTTTTCCAGTTCATTTTACAGATGAAGAAACTGAGGCAAGCAGGGTGAAGTGACTTGCCCAGGACCCTGTATGTATTTTATGTGTATATATCTTGTATGTAAAGCTAACATGTTTGAATATACCTTGTATGTGTCGATAACTCTCTAGATGTTGTCTGCCTCTGTAGAATATGAGCTCCTTGAGGTCAGGGACTATTTTTGAATTTCTTTGTATCCCCGGTGCTTAGCACAGTGCCTGGCACATAGGTGCTTAATAAAGCTTACTCATTGATTGACTGTTTACCAAAGGCAATGAACATTTATCAGCTGCTCTGATTCCTGCCTTCAAAGAGCTTATATTCCAGCTGAGGAGACAGACTTCTCAGGTCTCTTTTGTGTCTAATGTTCTACAATTCTGTGTGGAGTTGTTTCGTCTTAACCTGTGATTTTATTAATGTACAGAACTCCTAGGGTGCTAAGTCTCTCCACTGATGTGTCTCAGCAACAGTCCACAACTTGGCATTTTAAAGACTTGGTACTTAGGGCACTGAGACGTTGTGATGACCATTTTTCCTACGTGAATACCCTTTTGGGTTCTTTCTGTTAGAATCCTATACACCCAGGGTGATACAAGCTAGTTTGCCTCAGAGGAAGGATTTGAACCCAGGTCTTCCAGACTGTAAAGTCAACCACCAGCCCGCTGCCAATCAGTCAGTAAACAAGCAATTATTATGTGCCTACTATGCCTCCTGTACTCTACTAGATGCTGAGTATACAAAGACAAAAATGAAATGGTCCTCGCTTACATTCAGTGCCATCGTTACAGACGAGAAACAATACCGACCAATAGAAGGGCCCATTGAATGAGGGTAGACTCTTCAGTACTGAAGTTCTGAGAAGAGAGAAATGTCTGGGGGGCCTAGGCTGGGCTAGGCTTATGGAGGAGGGCCATTTACTGGGCTTAGGAAACTAAATACTCCTGCTCTGTGATCATATCCACAATCTCCTTAATAATAATAATAATAATAAATAGAAAATTTGGTGAATATGATAGGGAAGATGGAAATAGTTGTGCTGCTGTTCTGCTGTATGAATAGGAAACTCAAGATCATGCCACATTTAGGCCTGGTATCAGTAAGAACTTCCTAATAGTGAGAGGCATCCAGAAACGCCATAGGTTGGTTACCTTGGGAGATGGTGGGTTCCTCTTGCCAGAGGTCTTCAGACAAAGGCTGGATGGCCGCTTATCATCTCTGGAGGTGCGCCACCACCATCTAGCTGATCAGTGCATAAAAAGAGGGATTCTCTGTCAGCTACAGGTTAGACTAGACGTTCCCTGGGGTCCCTTTCAACTTGGAGATTGGGCAATTCTCTAGGATTCCAAGAAGATAGTCCACATAGGAAAAATGGCACGATCGATGGCAGAGGTATAGTTGAGTGCTAAAAATCTATACGATAGGAAATAGATTCAGAGTTCAGAAGAAGGAGAGATCAGTGTGGGTTTGTTTGGTTAGAGAAGGGCTTTGTGAAGCTGAAACACAAGGTAAGTGAGGAGATGGTAAGAGGGTCCTAATGAACAAACTATATTCTAAGATATGGGGGGGGTACTGGTGGGTGTAACTGCTGAGTAATTGCCAGTGACTTTAGAATGCTCATGGAGAGGAGAAGAGGTGCCACAGGATAGGAATTGGACGTGGCTTATTTAGGTTTTCATAAAAAGGAAGTGAAAGCAGTCTGCATACTAGATAGAGTAAATTTGGGGGCAGCTAGGTGGTGCAATGGATAGAGCACTTGCTGTGTAGTCAAGAGGACATGTTCAAATCCGGCCTTAGATACTTACTAGCTGTGTGACCCTGGGCAAGTCATTTAACCTGAGTTGCCTCCCCCCCCCCAAAAAAAGATATGGTAAATCTGAATTTAGTGCCTTGAAAAATTCTGAAACCTAAAATTCATTTGTAGACGTTTAGAAGTGGAAGTAGGGATCACTGAGAGCCAGTGTGGCGTCATCAAGAATAGTTCATGCCAGACTAACCTCGTTTTCTTTTATGAGTGGTTTCCTAGCCTGACAGATTAAGAGATTGCTGTACATATCACGTCCCTGCATGTTAGCACAGCATTTGATAAGATCTTTCATTTTATGCTCATGGACAAGATGGAGAAATAGAAGGTAGCGGATGGGAAAGTTAAGTGAGTTTAGCCCTGGCTGAATGGCTGAGTCCAAAGAGTCATCACTAATAGGTCAGTGTCAACTTGGAAGGTTTCTAGTCAAGCACCCTAGGCATCTTTGATTTTCCCTTTGTTGTTCAACACAGTCATGGCCATGGCTTTTAGAGGTGGAAAGGCTCAGCCCAACACCCCCATTTTACATATAAGAAAAATGAGTCCCAGAGGGACTTAGTGATTTTCCCAAGGTCACCTAAATTTTTTTCCCACTTAGTAGTATTTTATTTTTTCTAATTATATGTAAAGATAGTTTTCAGCATTCATTTTTTATAAGATTTTGAGTTCCAAATTTTTCTCCCTACCTTCCAACCTCCCTCCCCAAGACAACAAGCAATCTGATATAGATTATACATGTTAAACATTTCCACATTAGTGATGTTGTAAAAGAAGAAACAGAACAAAAGGGGAAAACCACAAGAAAAAAAAAGGGAAAATAGTACGTTTCAATCTACATTCAGACTCCATAGTTCTTTCTCTGGATGTGGATTGCATTTTCCATCATGAGTCTTTTGGAATTGTCTTAGATCATTGTGTTACTGAGAGGAGCTAAGTCAATCATAGCTGATCATTGCACAGTGTTGCTGTTACCATGTACAATGTTCTCCTGGTTCTGCTTACTTCATTCAGCATCAGTTCATATAAGTCTTTCCAGGTTTTTCGGAAATCTGCCTGCTCATCATTTCTTATAGTACAACAGCTTTTCATTTCATTCCTATACCACAGCTTGTTCAGCCATTCCCCAACTGATGAGCATTCTCTCCATTTCCAATTCTTTGTTTGTTTTTAATTTTGGTGAGGCAGTTGGGGTTAAGTGACTTGCCCAGAGTCACACAGCTAAGTGAGTGTTATGTGTCTGAGGCCAGATTTGAACTCAGGTCCTCCTGACTCCAGGGCTGGTGCTCTATCCACTGCACCACCTAACTGCCCCATCCATTTCCAATTTTTTGCCATCACAAAAAGAGCTGCTATAAATATTTTTGTGCATGGGTCACATACATTTTTAATGATGACTCAGATGAAGGTATAGAATCCAGGGTTTTCAAATCTACAGTTTTCACAAACCTGGGAAGAACAGGGTCCAAAAGACCTCACCAGGTTTAATTGAATGGCTAAATCTACTGAGATGAAATTGAACAGGAATAAATGTAAAGGTGTGCATGGGCTCAAAAAATCAAAAGTACCAGATGGGAGAGGTATGTAGCAAGAGAATAGTCTGTGTGTACAAACTCTGGGAGTAGGGCACCACAAGCTCAGTGTGAGTGAACAGTTATGAAATGGCAGCCCAGAAAGAACTGGAACGTGGGTTACATTAAAAGAGGTAACGTGGTGAATCTGTAAGAAAAAAAAATAACTATAGACTAGTATAGTATCCAGAGCGAGGGATAGCCCAGTCGTACTCTGCCCTAATTGTATCACATCTGGAATATCGTGTTCTGGGTGCCATCTTTTAAGAAGGACATGGACTCACCAAGCAGGTCAAAGGGAAGATGAACAGGATGAGGACTGGTGACCATGCCGAATGAGGATCATTTGCAGGAACTGGGAAGCTTTAGCTTAGAAAATAGAAGACTTGAGAGAGAGGACAGACAAGCTGGCTGTCTTTGGATTTTTGAAGATCTGTCATAAAAAAGAGAGATCAAAGATATTTTTTTCTTGGCGTCCAAAGGCAAAATGAGGTGAGAAGCTAAAGAGAGGCATATTTAGATTCCAGTTCCTAACAATGAGAATTATCCAAAAGTGGGATGGGCTGTTTGAGGAGGTACAGGGGGTCTTCAGTCTGAGACTGGGAGACATTTGTTAGGGAGATGGGGACTCATTTTGATATTCACAGAGCCCTTCCAGAATTACAGAGAGGTGTTGTAGAAGGCTTTATTTCTCAGGTATGGGGTGGACTAGATGTCCTCTGAGAGCTCTTCCAACTCAGAGATTCTTAGGACAGGCCTCAAAGGATTGGAATAAGTGAAGAGGATAGGGAAGAGGACATTTTAGGTGGAAGAAACCACATAAATGCATAGAAATGAGATTGAGTGTGGTTTATTCAGGATAGATTGGGGACACTGACCTTGTGTGGTGGGAGGCAAGGCAAGAAACATAGATAGGAATGAATGAAAGAGCTTCAAGTGTTAACTATGTGCCAGGCATTATACTAAGCACTGGGGATACAAATAACAAAAGACAGTCCTTGCCCTCAGAGAGCATACATTCTAATAGAAGGGAAAACACATGTAGGAGAGAGGTGGCTAGAGAAGGGTGTTTTGGACCCAGAAGTCACTCACAGATGAATGGAAAAACGGGGAAGTCACTGGACACTCCCTTTCCAAGAGTGAACACATCTTCCTGACTCCAGAGCTGGCTCTCTCACTACACCGTGCTGCCTCCGACAGGGATGCATGTGTGTGTACATGTGTATACGTGTGTGCATATATGTGTGTGTATGTTATATGTTACACATGCACACACACGCAAAGCAATATCTCTTGGGCAGTCACACCTGCCTGCATCCTCACTTAGAAGGCAAACAAAGGGCCCAGGCTCTGTTGACTTTGATCTCCTGGGAGAAACAGCACTGAACCCTTGAGCAGGTAGGCGGCACTCCTGGTTCTTAGAATAGCTCTCTCCCAGAAAGCGGCTAATACCCAGCAGCAAGACGAGGCTCTGTCAGCGTGTACCGTCCCAGAGCTGTTAGAGGCACCGAGGGAATTCATTCGCGTGTGTTTTGTATCCTGCAGACGGAGGTGGGGGGTGAGGAGTACGTCCCAGAGTCCGAGAAGGCAGCGATGGAGAAGGACCCAAACCGCCCCCGCTTCACGCTGCAGGAGCTGCGAGACGTGCTGCATGAGAGGAACGAGCTGAAGTCCAAGGTGTTTTTCTTGCAAGAAGAACTTGCTTATTATAAGAGGTGAGCGTCCCTATGAGGTGGCTAAGGCCGAGAGAGGGCTCCCTGACAATGCCGAGAACATTGATTAAGCGCCTGCTGTATGCAGGGCACTGTAGGCAGCTTCTCTTTGCCTGGGAGGCAGCTGGGAGAGAGGGCTCCCTGACAATACCAAGAATGTTGATTAAGTGCCTGCTGTATGCAGGGCACTGTGCTGAGGCAGCTTCTCTTTGCCTGGGAGGCAGCTGAGAGAGAGGGCTCCCTGACGATGCCGAGAACATTGATTAAGCGCCTGCTGTATGCAGGGCACTGTGGTATGGTGCAGGCAGAGATGCTATATTAATTAAGATATGGACCCTGCATATACTCCTCATCTTTCAACGCCCAACCCAGATCATAGATTCGGAGCTGAAAGGGACCTTAGAGGCCCACGAGTTTTTGCCCCAGCTCACACTAGTAAGTGTCTGAGGCAGGATTTGAATACAGGTCCTCCTAACCTCGATTAGTACCCTATCACGGGGTCATTCTTACTTCTAAACAAGCTTTCTCTGCCTGATTCCTCCCAGCTTCTCAACTCTTATTGGACTAAATAGTTGTACACCATTGACATTGACTCTCGGGCACATACGTGTGTGCTCTGATGGCTTCCTGGTGTACGTCTGGTTTCCCCTCCTGAACAGTAAGGGACTTACGGTACCCCGTGGATGCTTGACCCCTTCTCTCCTCTCCTACTACGAGGACATTAGTTCAGACCTTTTCCCTTCTGACCTAAACTGAGTTTAGAGGAAAGAATACAGAATTTGGAGCCAGGAGACCTGGGTTCCAATTCCAGCTCTAGTCTTGGGCAGACCAATTCACCTCAGTGGGTCCTAGTTTCATGCTTCATAAAATGAGGGGGTAGACTACCAAACACTAAGGATCCTTCTAGGTCTGAATGCTCTGTTCCTGTTGTCTCCTAACTGGTCCTTCTGCCTCCAGCCTCTTCCCTCACCTCTGTCCTGCACACTGCCCCACAGGTAACCTTTCCAAGAATTCTGCTGGGATCGTGTCCCTCCTCACCTTGCCTACTTTGGCATTCAAGGCCTTTTACAAAAGGGTTCTCACCCACCTGGCCAGCATCAGGTCACCCTGACTCCCATTCCAGCCCACCTTAACTGTTTCTGTCCCTTCTTGTCTTTGTCCGTCTCCCCTCCCTTCCAGTTGCTTGGAATGGTTCTTCCCTTCCTCCAAGGCCCTACTCAGATGTCCCCACCTTGAAGTCTTTCCTTGACCCCGGCCCATCTTCTGCCCTCCCAGCCCAAACAAACATGATCCCTTCTCAGATTTCCCATCAGCCCTTCGTCCTGGACCACTCCTGTGGACCCATTTCATTTTCCCTCATCTCTGCTGATTGTATATTTGTTTTCCTGTAGCTCTCATTAGATTGTAAACTCCTTAAGAGCAGGATCCACGTCGTATCTCCTTTGTCTCCAGAAATGCCAACATATGATTGATAAATGTCTGTGAAATTGAACTACATACCTAGAATACCATTTAATATTCAAATCCTGGTTCATTTTTTAAAATTTGAATTGAAAAGAGAAATATTGATCTGAAAAGGCTCCTCACATTTGAGCAGAGGACTGAACTGGAGGGCTTTATGTATGTTCTCTCCCTTCTTAGAGTGCCCAGACCCTTCCTGGGTAGCTCAGGCAGCCTCCTGAATAGGCAGAACATCCAGGGACTTGAGACACTGATGCGCTCTGCCCTGATAGCCTCCCCCTCCCCCAGCTGCCATCAGATGCGTGGCCTGTGAGACGGCCCAGCGTCGGAGGGATCCAGGTTCAGCTCATTCACCAAATGTGTGTCCACTTTTTTTCAGTGAGGAAGATGAAGAAGAGAGCCGAACACCCCATCCCACCCCCCTCATCCACTCCAAAACGTCCCCCCAGCCCGAGTCTGGGATCAAGAAACTGTAAGTGAACACATGATAGACGGTGGCTTAGCATGTTGTCCTGGGGCTCTAACAAGTAATCAGCATCTGAGGCTGGGGTCCAGCCTTTTCACTAATCCCAGAGAGCTGAAATGTAACCTGGGCAGGGGGTGGGGGGAGACGGCTGGCCCTGCCCTGACCAGTGGTTTGTGTCCCTCTGTCCCTGCTTTCCCTCTTTGCCTGGGCACCTGGCTACAGAGTCAGTGAACGGGAATGGGGGAAGGGAGGTGAGGAATGGAGACCGACGTTCTTCTGACCTGCATGGGCAGCGCTGGATGCCTGCTGGCCAAGCATGGGGAAGCTTGAGCCTGGGTTAGGGGAGGGCTTGTCTGAGAGTGGTGGCCTGTAAGGACCATTAGTAAGTGGGAGGGTTTTTTCATTCATCCTGAAAATAAGAATGCCCTGTTCAGAAGTGAAAACTGTGGGATGGGTGCAGGCCCTCTGTGCCCATTCATTTGTTAGTCAAAAAGCATTTATGAAGTACCTCTGGATGAAAAGACAAAAATGGAATTGCCTCTCTCCTCAGGGAGTTCACAGTCTATCAGATTTATGTAGTCTGTCACTCCATATAGACTTAGCCAGCCCTGTGGAGTGGGTAGTGTGAGTCCCTGCCTCAGGGGTGACAGTCTGTTGTCTCCTCTTGGGGTATCTTGCCTGGCTTGAGGCTCCCCAGCAGTGCCACAGTCCTGCTCCACCCCATGGTCCACCTGCTTCTCCCTGCCCCCGGCCTCCATCCGTCCCTTGGCCAGCTCCTTCTGCATCGAGACCCTGCAGTGACCGGGAAGCTTCCCCAACCCCCAGGATGGAGAATAGGCCAGGGAGAAGGGAGGGAAGCAGCCAGAAAGCACCCACTCTCCTTTCCCAGAGGGCTGTGGTTGGCACCGTCCTTATAGCAGTGCTGGTTTTCCATGAGATAACTGTGAGAATGAGCTGCCACAGAAGGGCTTTTGAGGGGGCCCAAGGCAGGACACTGCTGGCCTTTGTGTTCACCTCTGCTGCTGACTGACAGCTGCGTTTGTGCAACCACACAAGTGGGGGGGCCTTCCCCTCACCCCCATCCCTGGGACAGGAACAGGGGGACAAAGCAGCCTCATGGAAGGAAACTTCAGGGCAAATGGAGAGGATTTAACATTAGTCAGAAGCCAGGCTGCCTCAGCCCCATTCCCTCTGCTTGTGTCTGATTTCCCCAGGCCCTGCTAAGCTCAGGGGCTCATGGGGAACATTAGTCACACGTGAGTAGAGAGGCCTCCCGTCCACTAATCCTGCTGGGCCCCATCCCAGCTCTGTGCAGTTAGTCAGACCTCTCCAGCCAAACAGCCCCAGCCTCTTCGTCCGTGCTCTCCACTTCTGCCCCCTCTGGCTGCCTTTCCCGCCCCCCCTTCCCTTGCTTTCTAGCTGCCAACTCTCAGTGGTAGCTGGCTCTCCATCTACCCAGCTCTCTCAAGAGTCAGGGACATCTCACTCCAAACTGCTCTTAGAAAAGCTGGTGACACTTTTTAACATGCCATTTTTTTTTTATAATTTTGAGTTTCAATTTTTAAAAAATGGAATGTTAAAAATTGTCTTTACATGTAATTGGGGGAAAATATTTTTAAAAGAAAAAAAGAAAAGCTGACTACAGATCATAACAGTGGAACCCAGAGGAAAAAATCGAAGAATAACTTAGCCCTGCTAAGCTCCCAGGAGGAGTTTGGGGCTGCCCAGAGAAGGTCAAGAATGAAAAGACTGGCTGACCCCAACTTAATTCTTAATACACATCAAACGTCCTGCTCCCTCTCCTCCTCCTCTCTTGCTTCTGCACACAGCTGGTGTTTGCCTGAATAAGGGATCAGGAAGGGACAAGTGAGAAAGGGTTTGTAGGAAAAACTGGAGAGGCTAATGGTTCAGAAACACTGGGTAGACAGTCTTGTGCCTTTCAGGCAGATCCAGTCTTTGAAAAACCTCCTAACACCATCCCCCCAGCCAAAAATGATCTTTCCCTCCCTTCTCCCCTATTTGCCATGATCCCTGAAATTCATTAGAGCTTCATGTATTTGGGTCTTTATGATCTGTTAATAATGTAAGTTGTTGACCAAAGCATAGGTGGAAATAAGTGATCATTTAGGTGACAGCAAAGCCCTCCTGGCTATAGACCCCTCTGGAAAAGGAGAGCAGAGGGTACTCAAAAGGGTAGACTCTAGCCTCTCCCGTGGTGGGACTGCTCAAAGCCAGGGGGGATCTGAACTCCCTCTCGTGGTTTGTGCTAGCACACCTGCCAACAATTCAACCAAAGATGAATGAATGAAAAGACATTTTATTAAGGGTCTGCTATGTGAAAAGCACTGTGGTATTCCCTGGGAATACACCCAGAAAAGCAAGCTGGCCCCGATCTTCTGGAGCCCACATTCCAAGAGGAAAGGCCTTGCGTCCTCAGGGCGCGTTGCCAGGCACATGGTCGTACGTTTTCCTTAATGTTAATTTCCACAGAGACCACGTCCATTTCTGATGTTGGGCCATGTGACAGTACCCAAGGCTTTAGTGGTGAGAACCAAAAATCTTTCATCCATTGCCCCTGGGCAACATGGTACCTAATGTATTCCCTGAAGGGACCTTAAAAGCTTCATGTTTTTCTCCTGTGCAGACAGCTTCCCATGTTTTCTGGAGATATTATAACAAGCTGTGTATGCCTGGATAGTCACGGAGAGGTCATGAGGAAGTAATCAGGTTCACAAGATCATAGGTTTAGGGATGGAAAAGACATCAGAATTACTTTCCAGATGAGGAATCTGGGGCCCAAGGCCACACAGCGAGTAGATGGCAGAGCTGAGACTCAAACCCAGGTTCTCTCACTGGGAACCCAGCAGTAATCTTTCTACTGCAGGCTGGTGCCTCCCACGTCCTTTTTGGTGACGAGGGGAGTGGTTCCCCATGGGAAATCTGTGCCCTTTCCTGGAGAGGGGCCTCTGGCCCTGGGCATTCCAGGCTGGGCCTGTGACTTTCCACATCACCAGAGGAAACCCTTTAAGCCCCAGCTTATAGATCAATTATCCATCTTAACTGAAAAGGAGGATAGTGAGTATAATCTAAAGTCCAGAGAGGATCCAGAACTCTCATTTTATCTAACCCTTTTTATTTTATTTTTTTATTTTTTGGTGAGGCAGTTCGAGTTAAGTGACTTGCCCAGGGTCATACAGCTACTAAGTGTCAAGTGTCTGTGGCTGGATTTGAACTCAGGTCCTCCTGACTCCAAGGCCAGAGCTCTATCCACTGGGCCACCTAGGTACTCCACCCTTTTTTTTTTAAAATGAGACACTCTTGGTGAGCAAAACAGATTTGAGTTTCACCTTGAACTCCCCCTTTGGTCAAAACAGGTTGGGAAGCTGGGGAAGGAGGGAGAAGAAAAAGCCCCTGATAATCCCAAAAGAGTGCTAATCACCAATCTGATAACAAAGAATCTGGGACAAGTAGGTGGCGCAGTGGATAATACACAGGCCCTGGAGCCAGGAGGATCTGAGTTCAAATCATGGCTCAGATGCTTACTAATTGTGTGACCCTAGGCAAGTCATTTAACCCTGATTGCCTCCAAAAACAAAAAGGAAAGAAAGAATCAATAGTGAGCATAAGACTTTTGACCAAACCAACCCCCTTCTTCTTTGGGAGTGGGGAAGCAGCAAGTAGAAAAGTGAACTCCTCAGGCTCCACCGTGCCAGATTTGGAGTCAGTGGCCTCCAGTTCAAATCCTGTCTCTGTCACTGATTGCCAAATTGCTGTGTAAAATGAGGTCAGACTCAGATGACCTCTCAGGAAGGTCCCTTCCAGCTCAGAAGCCTGAGATTCTAAACAAATGTGCCTGGTTTTTGTTCAACTCAAGAAATATTACTAACATTCCATAGATAGATTTCTGACAGTTTCGTGTAAGCCAAATTTGGGTATGTAAAATGCTATTTGCGGGTGAATCTTTTTTCACCATTTTTGAAAGTTTGGGTTTTTATAGAGCAGGTTTGCATACGGTATAAACTAAAAGAGCCCTGGCTCTGGAGCAGATAACCTGGGTTCAAATCCTGCCTCTGCCATTTACTGCCTACGTGACTTCGCATGAGCCTTAGGTTCCTCAACTGTAAAATAAGCATGTTGGACAGGGCGGCCCTTGAGTTCCCCTCCAGTTCTGGGTCTGTGACCGTGAAGCTGCCAGGCTGCCCAAGACACTGATACAGAAATCCCAGGCTTGGAGCAGCCCACCTGGGACAGACCCTGCCTGGCCCTGACGTCAGGGCCATTTCACAAAGGGAGAGCCTTGGCCTCCTTCATTCCCTTGTCTTCCCCCCTTCCCAGCTCTCCTCCCTCTCTGCCCCTTGGGAATCAATCACCCACCCCCCTATCTTCTCTCTGTAACCGTCACTGAGGACACCCCAACCAGCACTGCGGCCTCTCCCTTGTCTGTCTGCGTGGAGCACGGAGTCGCCTTCTCCTGCCCACCTTTTTACCTTCTCTATGTCTATCTGTGCCTCTCTGACCAGGATCTTTACAGCCGTAATGCCCATGGTAGCAGCTGGACTAATCCTAGATGACCCCACCCTGCAGCCTGTCCGAAGACTTGTTTCCCTTGTAGGCACATCTCGTTTCTCGGTTTTGTCTTGGGAATGCCTGTTGGGGCTGAGGGGTTGCGCTCTGCTGTTTTCTTTGGCTTGGGCTGCCCCTGCATCCTGGCGGCTGTGATGTGATCTCCCGTGTGCCTGTCACAGTGCGCAGTCAGCACGATTCCTCAGAAAATCCTCTGCTGCGTCACAAATAATTCTCTTTGTCTCTTCTGTTTCCATTTTAAACCACCTTGTCCATGTTCCAGTCAAGAAGGGCGTTTAAGCCACGGGTCAGTAACCACCAATGCCCACCACGGTTCACCGAGTGTCACTAACACTGCACGTCTGCTCACTCAGCCAGGGTGGCTCCCTTAAAATGCTTTTGTTTTCTGCCACTGAAACTGCTTAGTCCTTTGAAAAAAAAATAACCAAGAAAGTGCCATGGGGGTGGGCAGTTTCTCTCTTATATCCATTTGGGTATGAAGTACCCCTCATGCTTACTGGCACTGCTTAGGTGTGACGATGAAACATGGGTGTGTTTGGACACATACCCTCAGACAAGTGTGCTGGATTTGGAGTCAAAGGGCCTGGGTTGAGATCCCACCAGCCCTGCGCGAATTAGTGCCTATCGTGACATTGCGTTGTGACCTCTGGGCCTCAGTTCTCTTATTTTTAAAACGAAGCCACTGAAGAGCTAGATGCCCTCTTTGGCCTCTTCCAGCTGTAGGTGATGCTCCTATATTGATATGGAAAAAGGTGCTATGATAATGTGGCTTGCTTGAACAGAGCATCGTTCAGAGCGCTCCTTTCTGAGCTAGCAGGCACGAGGCTGCCCTTAAGAAACCAGATGCTAGTAGACAAACTTCAAGAGCTCTGGGTTTAAGTTCAAAAGAAATTGTCACTAGAAGAAAGTCACTGTAAGGTCCAGGGGCCAAAGCATATTCATCTCATTCTCTCGTCAACAGAACCAAAGCCTAAATCCAATCCAAGTCACTGTTAAAGTTGGTGTTTTAACTTGGGCCCAAATTGTATTTCTGGTTTCCTGTAAGTGGTGAAGCCCAGAATCTGCTCCCTGTTTTTGTCCTCTGGTTTTCTACATTAGTCCACATTGGCTGTCTTGGGCTGGGCTGGCCTAATACTGGTGCTTCACAGTGGTCATAAATTTCTGTAAACAAAGACAGTTGGTTTTCACTTCAGTCACTGGGTGCCTGGCAGCATGGAGGCACTGGTTTGTTGTTTTTTTTCAAGGCAGTTTTCAGAATTTCAAGTGTTTTTGAAATCCATCTGTGAGGTACTGACGTCTCACCACAGGGTGGGAAACATCGCCTTAGGAAGTCTTTTAATGAGACTTTCGAGGTCTGAGCAGAATGTGACCTAATCTCTAGAGATTTTAGAGAATAGCAAGGTTGAGGGTGGGGAAGAGAGAGACAGGGAGAGAGAAAAGGCCCTGATAACAGAAAGTCAAACTTTTAGACCAAATCCTCACCCCGGGGGGGGGGGGGGGGGGGGGGGGTCAGCTTGGACAACAGTAATACAGGTTGTTTCAGGTTTATCTGCAAAACTGTGACTTGGGATCAAGTCATTTTGACTCTTCAGGCCTTGGTTTTCTTATGTGCAAAATGGGCAGAAGAGATTTGGACTTTCTGAGGCAGTGTGGAATGAGCAGTGGCAAGAGTGCTGGTTCTGGGGTCAGAGGAACTGGGTTTCAATTCCAGATAGTTGGTACCTGCGTGACCTTGGGCAGGCCACTTCTGTGGGACTCAGTTTTCTCTCATCAGTAAAATGAGGCGATCAGATGAGAGGGCTTCTCAAGGTCCCTTCCACCTCTCAATCTACGGTCTTATGATTCCCAAGATCCTTTCATACCATAATATTCAGTGAATATCTATTACATCATCCCTGAGTGGTAATAGGAAAGTCCCTTAACCTTTCTGGGCCTCTGGGTCTTCATCTGTAAAAGGAGGGAGGTTGGAATAGATGACCTTGGGGTCCCTAAAGCTGTGGTCCTGCTAACTGGGGGGGAGGCAGATCAAAAGGTGGATTTTATTGGCATGGGGCACCCCCATTATTGAACGGATGCAGCTGGCCAGGTCCCCTATAACTGATGGCCACAGAGAGTTGCTTGGGCCACTAAAACCAAAGGTGGACTTCAACCCCAGGGCTTCCTGACTACAAAGCCAGCCTCATGCCGTAGGGCTTCAGCCTGTGCATGGCTCCAGTGGAGATTCCAGCTCCTAGAGATAAAGGCAGATGGTGAAAGTAACCTAGGTTAAATTCCCACCTCTGGTTCTAACTCCCTGTGAGACCTTGGACAGGCCACCTAACTTACCACCACATCAGTTTCCTCATATCTAAAATAAGGGCATTGGACTAAGTGCCTTCTGAGGTCCTGCCAGCTGTGGATCTATGATCCTGTAAAATTAATCATTTTAATGAAGTTGAATTTTGCCATTTTGTGAGCAAGCTTTTCCAGGCTCCATCGCAGTAAAAAGGTCCCCTTCCTACAGTGCAGCGTGAATGACTCACCCCAATGCTTCTTCCTAACAGCTCTTCCCACCACCCCCCTCTAAACGGGCATTGCCAGCTGGAGTCCCCACTCCCTTCTGTGTGGCCGCCCACACCCAGGAGCTTGCCCAGGAGCTCCTCTTAGGTGGCTTGTTAACAACCATGAATTCTTCAGCCTTTAAAAAAAAAAAAGGTCACGCCAGCCGTGGCTGTCCAGTGGTGTGTCTTGTGCCCTTTCTCATGTCGTCAGGGTGGAAGGCTCATTTACCTAATTCTGAGAATGCCATGAATGGGAAGGGTGATCATCGCCAGCTGGACGCTGAAGATTCATGCCGTGTTGGGGCACCGCTGGGCATTTTAATCCTGTCACCACACACCGTGGTGTGTCCCACCGTGCTGTCACCACCAACCCTCCCCTGGCTTTGAGATGCACCTCCCAAGCCCTGAGTCTTTCTACCACCGAATGGAACTGACGTGGTTGCTTTGGCTTGGTTGGCATTGTGCCCGCCTCTGCACAGCATCTGAATGACACATTGGCAGGTACTGATTTTTTCTTTTCCTCCCTCGCTCCCCACCCCCTTCTTCTTCCCCAAAAAGGTTTAGTTTCTTCTCTCGAGACAAAAAGCGCCTGGCCAACACGCAGAGAAACGTCCACTTCCAGGAATCGTTCGGCCAGTGGGCAGACTCCCACAGAGACGATGGCTACACCGAACAGGGGCAGGAAGCGTTACAGCACCTGTGACTTTCACTCTGCCTGGGCTCGTGACTGGATGGTCAGGAACCAGCTGGCACCCATAAAGCAGACCTCACGGCCCCTGGCAGCTCAGCCCTCTGCACCTCGTGGTCGTGTGTCTTTTTGGATGTACTTTCCACCCAGGGACACTGAGATACGTGCTGTGTGCTTGGGACACCAGACCTCTAAAAACAGACTCCAGATTCCACAGTCGTCGTCGTGGTTTAGATGGGGTCACTGTGTGACCCTCACGTATACATTCGTAGGTCACGGATTTAATGCCCCGCTAGTGTCTGGTCTGGCTTTTGCGCTCCCTCCGGTAACACAGGCTTCTCTAAACCAAAAACACAGTGTATGGCACCCTGACAGTGGCCAGCACCCCCTTGGTCTGTGGGTACTCTCTGACCCGTCGTGTTTCTGTAATACAGAGGTGATGGTGGCCCCTCTTTAGTTCTGTTGATGCCGTTTTCAAAGCGGCCCAGGCAGAACTCTAACATTTGATCAGGTTTCCCCTGGGGCACCTTTTAGCACAAGCTCTGGGAACTCTGTCTCAGGGCAGCATTCACCAGTGGACAACAGGACCCTGCGACCTCACAACTGGAGGCAGCCGTGCAAGAAGCGAGGGGGTGGGCGTCGTACCCTGGGATTTATAGTGCCTAAAGCATGTAGATACTGGTGTACAAGGTGAGTGTGCCTTGGGTTTTGCTGAGTTATATGCAGTATTAACCAAACAAAAAAAACTGCTAAAAATGATCAATTTTAACACAGGTTTGGGCATTTTTTGTCATCTTTTTCTTTATGCATGGAAGATGGGAAGTTACTCCTTACCCTGCTAAGCCCAAGTTGAAGGCATACAGGGCACTGGGAACCTTGTAGGGAAAGGGTAAACTTGACAGAAGATTGGCAAGGCTCCTCCTCCCTTCTCTGGGAGCTTTGAGCCGTGGGGAAGTAAAGATGTCCCATGGTACTGTGTGGCTGCCAGATCCACGGGGTTGCCTTCGATCTCTGGAAGCCACATGAAGAGCATACCATGGTTTTCATCCACTCCCTTTTTTTCCTCCCAAAGCTCATAAACTGTGTATTTTAGTACACAATTAAATTGATAAGGAAATCACTGCTGACATCAGCACCATGAAAGTAGCATGCTGGCGTAGGAAAACTACCCAACAGGGAGATCAGAGATCTAGGCCTGTCCTTAACGGGTTGCATGACCTTATGAGTTACCTTACTTTCCTCATTTGGGAAAGGATGGAGGGATGGACAGGATGACTTCCCTAGCCCCTTCCAGCTCTAAAACTGTGGTCCACTGTTACACAAGGTGATTTCAGAGGTAGAGAAACAGGACCTTGGCCACCCCATTCCTGTTTTTAATATAAAGAAACGAATTCCCATTGAGACCCTTGGAGAACAGAGAAATGCTACATGGTAATTTACTAGGAAAATAGCATGTTCATTTTCTAAAACGGTTTCTAACAGCTGGTGTCTATTTTAACACAGCAGGGCGGTTCTGTTCTTTGTGGAAAGTAAAGCTGGAGGAGGAGGAGGTTGCTGCTATTAGGGTAAAACCTAATAATGGAGCCCTTTTTTAAACCCACATAAAATAGATAGCTGTGATTCAAGTGACATTTATTAAGCACCGACGTTGTGTAAGCCTCAGAAACAAATCAGACGTGCTACCTGAAACAGTGAATTTTAAAAACGTGAATTTTCAGAGTTACAACTATGGACAAGAAGATGCCTGTCATGGTCTCTCTTTTTGAGATGCCTCTGTCCAGGTATGTCTGGTTATGTCTCTAATAAAGGCAGCTAGGTGGCATAGTGGACAGAACACTATGTCTGGAGTCAGAAAGACTCGAGTTCAAATTAGGTTTCAGATAATTCCTGGCTGTGTGACCCTGGGTAAGTCACTTAACTGCTGTCTGCCTCAGTTTCCACATCTGTAAAATGGAGGTAATAGTAGCACCTACCTCTCAGAGTTGTGGGAAAACTCAAATTAGATATCTGTGAACTGTTTTACAAATTTTAAAGCATCATAGAGCTGTTATTATAAAAACTTACTTTCAGTCTATGTCACCCAAGTAGAAAGGGAAGGTCAGTTCACCCAATTTGCTGATGGTCAAGCAGGGAGGAAGGAAAGGAAAGAGGAAGGCTTGGAAGCAGTTTGCTCCGCAGGTCACAGTGTATTAGCATTTCACTGGTCTCTGTTCTGCACACTCCTAACTCATTTTGCAGAACTATAAGAAGGCTTGAAATAAGGGAAAACTTCGTGACCACTGTGTGGAAGTACAACAGAGGGGCAACTGGGTGGTGCACCCCGAGTTCAAATCTGGATTTAGACACTTATCAGCCATGTGACCCTAGGCAAGTCATTTAACCCTGATTGCCTCAAAAAAGAAAAAAAGGGCAACAGGCTGTCTTGGGAGGTAGAGAGTTCCTTATCACTAGAGGTCTACAAGCCAAGCCTGGATAACCTTGTTGGGACATTCTCATGGAGGTACAAGTTGGCTAGAAGGCCTCTGAAATTCTTTTTTTTAAAAATTTATTTATTTTAATTTATCAACAACCATTTCCATATGCTTTTGAGTTTAAAATTTTTCTCCCCCTCCTTCCCTCCCCAAGATGGCATGCAATCTGATATAGGCTATACATATACATTCCTATTAAACATATTTTCACATTAGTGATGTTGTAAAGAAGAATTAGAACCAATAGGAGGAACCACCAGAAAGAGGAAACAAAACACAACAGAAGAAAAAAAATTGCAAATAGTCTGCTTTGATCTGCATTCAAACTCCATAGTTCTTTCTTTGGATGGGGATAGCATTTTCCATCATGAGTGCTCTGAAATTCTATGAAATGTTTTCTTATCAAAAAGACATCGAGCCTCATCCAGGGTGAGCCCTTTAGCAGGAGGAATGTGGTGCTGATGGGGAGGGTGCTGGCCTGGAGACAGAACCTGGCTTTACTACTTTGTTTGTGCATCCTCAGGATGGCAACAGGCATTTATTAAGGGTCTACTATGTGCTAGGCCCTATGCTAAGATAAGTCACTTTTTAGATTTAGATTTAACAAGCATTTATGAAGCCCCTACTGTGTGTGTGCCAGGTACTCTACTAAGCACTTTACAATATTTACAATTATCTCATTGGATCCTCACAATCCTGGGAGATAGATGGGTGCTATTATCATCCCCATTTCACAGACGAGGAAACAAAGGAGAGGTTAAAAGCCTTGCCCAGGGTCACGCGGCTAGTAAGTGTTTGAGGCAGGATTCCAATTCCAGGGCTTTATTCAGTGTGCCACCTACCGGTCTCTGCCTCAGTTTCCCCATATGTAAAAGGAGGAGGCTGGACTCCCTGTCTTTAAAGTCCCTTCTGGCTCTAAATTCTGTGATCCCATAAGAATCCACATTTGGCTCAGAAGGGGCAGGCCAGCAGCCTGAGATCACTAAGGACACTTCCTCTAGGCTTTCCTTTTCTAGTTCACCCCCTCAGAAATAATCAGGTTAATGCAGGCTGCTGAAATGACTGGACAGATTTGAAACAAATCTTTATTTAGCAGCTGACTGTGTCCAGGGTTCTGAGAGGGGAAGAAGTTTGGGCTTGGGTGGGATGAAGGTCTAGAATGGTGTGTCCCCCAGTAAAACAGGAAAGTGGCAACAGAGACCTCAGGGGGAGCCCTGGGAAATCTGAGGCCAGCAAGCCTCCTTTCGTCTGGGCACATAAAGGAAGACTCCACAGAAGTGAGGGCCGAGCCTCATGGGAAGGAGGAAGAGGCGACGTGCACTGGGCACCGCCCGCCCGCCCATTCAGGTGCAGAAGAAAGGGATGGCTGTACCCCAAGTCTCTATCTGTGTTTGTCATCACCTCTCTGCTTTTTGGAGTCTCTTTCCTTGCTTCTGTCTCTCCTCTCTCGGTCTTTTCTCTCTCGGCCCCTGCTCCTCTCCTCACGGAATTCTCTCTCCCTTTCCCTCTCACTCTCGTCCCAGGCCCGGCTGGACTCCCTTTCCTGTCGCCTCTTCTCTCGGCCCCTGTCGTGGTCTCGATCTCTGGCCCTCCAGTCCCAGGTTCTGTCTCGGGACCACTCCCTCCTTTCCCTCTGGCCCTCTCCATAGAAGTCACTTTTGAAAACTGGCAAATTAATGGGCTTTCTAAATGGCCGGTCCCGTCCACCAAATCTCAGTTGTCCAGATTCTTTTTTTCCACCAAACCCCCCTCCAAGTCTCCGAGGGATCCACCCTTTAAGGATTCTTTCCAGCTCGTAGTCAACAAAGATTTCATGCTGATCAATGACCAGTCCGTTGGCATCTCGGTAAGCTTTTAACAGAGACCGTTCTTCTCTGTACTCAATAAAAGCGTAGCGCTTTGAAAAGCCCGTGACCACGTCCCGAACCAGCCGCAACTTCCTGATGTCCCCGTATCTGCTGAAGACGTCTCTCAGCTTTTCTTCCGTCGTCTGCAGGTTCAGCCTGCCCACAAAGAGGGTGAGGTGGGGGTCTCCGGACACCCCTTTGTTGGGCACGTAGCGTGCCAGCATCGCCCTCCAGATGGCCCGGTCGTGAGGCTCTTCATCAGTACCATCAATGCTCCCGGCCTTGAGAGGATCATACTCTTTGGCAATGGGCATCCACTCGTTCATTCTCTAGAAAAGCAGGAGACAATGAGTGTACTTGGGTCTGACACACATCAGCATGGGAGGGGGCCAGTGCACCCACAGCACTCTGTTGGGCCAACCGGCCAAAATCTGGTCCCCCTATCTTGGGGCTCTCAGGAACGATTCTACTGCTACAAGTAATAATAACAGTAAGGGCCTGCACAGTCCTTCCAGTACTTTCCCCTGTGATTCTTACCATAATCCTCAGGGGCAGGAACTGCAGGGATGAATATCCCTGTTCTACAAATGGGGAAACTGAGGCTCACAGCAGTTACATGACTTGCCCAGGGTCCGAGGTAAGATTCAAACCCTGGCCCCTCCTGACCAAATCTAGCCTTCCTTCCACCCCATGTCACTGCCTCCCACTTCAGCTGGACGAGCCGATGACCCTGCTGTGATGCAAAAAAGCCATTCCTGGTTGGTATCCTGCTTCTGGCAGGGATCAGGCTTAGACCAGCAACAATCCTGAGAGGGAATCAAGGCTGAATTTCTTCCTGACTAGTCAACTCCCTGAAGCTGGGGATCACTTTCTGCCTTGGAGCATGAGAATTAATTGCTGTGGCAATTTTCACCCCAGCAAGCCTGCATTGCAGATGACATTCTTTCAGACACATGGTAATGAATTCATAGGAATCTCTGTTGGAATAATAAAGTGCCTGCCAACATTTAAAACACCGCCCGTGCTTATGTAACCCCCTAGCAACTCCACAGCCAAAAGTGAAACGGGATTAAGAAAGGAGGAGGGAGGGGCTCTGCAAAGCAAGCATGACAGGTCTCTGGTCCCACCATCCTACCAGCATCTCTCCGTGATATGTCCTCAAACCTCACTTTCTCTGGGGCTGTTCCTCCAAAAACTGCCTTGCTGGCCTGCCCCTTTCACCCCAATCAAGCATATGCCTTTTTCTTTTTCTAGATCTCTTCTCTAGTAAGGTAAAACAATTCTGTCCATATAAGTTTGAAGGATACGGGGGGGGGGGTTACTTTGTTCAGGGGATTATTTGGGGGGTACAGTATTGGTTTAAGAGAAGTAACCTAATGCTACAACACAAAACTACAAAGCAGTTGTGAACAAATTAAAAATACTGACTGGGCTGACCAATAAATCAATGTTTGC